ATTGAATATCCACGTGCCAAAAGATGAAGTTAGACCTTTATCCCACACCATACACAAAAATTAACACAGAATAGACCATAGATTTAAATGTAAAAGTTAAAACAATTAAACCTTTAAAAGAAAACACAGGTGAACATCTTCAAGACCTTGGGTTAGGCAAAAATTTCTTAGATGTGACACCAAAAACATGGTTCATTTAAAAATTTTTTGGTAGATCAGCACTCATTCAAATTCAACTCTTTTCACCATGAAAGACACCATTAAAAAAATTAAAAGATATAGGTAAAGGGCATAAAGAAAAATCATGATTTGTAACCATGAACATGCTAATAATAATAAAAAATAAAAATAAAAGATAAACAACAGACTCAGAGAAAATATTTGCAAAACACACATCTAATAAAGGATTTGTATACAAAATATACAAAGAACTCTTTGTATATAAGACAAATGACCCAATCAGAAAAATAAGTAAAATTTTTGAAAAGCTGTTTTACCAAAGAAGATATATGAATAGCTAATAAGCGCATGAAAAAACACTCAATATAATTAGTCACTAGGGAAACACAAATTAAAACCACAATGAAACACCATTTTATACCTATTAGGATGGTTATAATAGTTTTGTGTGTGTGTGTGTTTTTTTTTAATCAGACATTACAAATGTTGGCAAGGATGTGGAGAAACTGAAACCCTCAACTTGCTCGTAGGAACGTAAAATGATGCAGCCACTTTGGAAAACAGTTTTGGCAGTTTCTTAAAGAGTTAAAAATAAATTTTTCATTTGACTGAGCAATTCCACTCTTAGGTAGCTACCCAAGAGAAATGAAACATGTAGATATACAAAAATGTGCAGACAATTGTTCTTAGCAGTATTACCCATAATAGTCAAAAACTGGAAAAACCTAAAAGTCCATCAATGGATGAATAGATAACACAAAATGTGGTATATTCATATAGTGAAAAACTATACACCAATAAAAAGGAACAAATTACTAATACATGCTCTAACACAGATGAACCTCAAAAATGTTATGGTAAACAAAAGAACTCTAACACAAGAGACCACAAATTGTACGATTTGGTTTGTATGAAATGTCCAGAAAAGGAAAATGTATGGAGACAGAGAATAGCTTATTGTTGCCTGGGGTGAAAGAGAGGTGCTGGGGATTAACAATAAATAAACATGAGGGATCTTATTCGGGTGATGGAAATGTTCTAAAACTGATGAATGGTAATGTCTGCACAATTTGCTATGTTTACTTCTTGAAAAAATCATTAAATTATATTCTTAAAATGTGTGAATCATGATATGCAAAATATACTTCAATAAACCTATATATAATGTACAGATGGTCCTAGACTTATGATGAGGTTACGTCTCAATAAACCCATTGTCAGCTGAAAATATTAAGTCAAAAATGCATTTAATACACCTGACTTACCAAATGAACATCACAACATAGCCTAGCCTACTTCAGACGTTCTCAGAACACTTACATTTGTCTACAGTTGAACAGAATCATTTAACAGAAAATTTATTTTATAATAATGTGTTGAATATCTCATATAATTTATTTAATACTGAAAGTATTTTCCACTAAAAGTGAAAAACAGAATGGTGTATTGATATACAAAGTACGGTTTCTGTTGAATAGGTATCATTTTCACACCATCATAATATCAAAAACTCTAAGGCATACCACAGTAAGTCAGGGACTATCTGTATATGAAGGTCAGACTGATAACTGACATGAAAAAAATAATAGTGAAAACCAGAAGACAGTGGAATGAAAGCTAGAATATGATGACAAAAATAACTGCCAACCCTGAAATTTGTGTCCCAGAAAATGTCTTCTAAGAGTGAACACAAGGGCTGGCCATTTAGCTCAGCTGATTAGAACACAGCATTATAACACCAAGGTCATGGGGTTCAGATACACAGACCGGCCAGCCACCAAAAAAAAAAAAGAATGAACACAAAATAAAGACTTCTTCAGAACAATAAAAATAGAGAGTCTATCACCAGCAAATACTCACTAGAAGAAATGCTAAAGAAATTACAGGTAGCAGGAATGAGTTCCCAAATTTAGGATCTAACATGAAAGAAAGAATCAACAGCAAAGAAAGTGACAGACACCTGAGTATATGCACATAAACATCAAACATACAAATAATAATAATAAAGTCTCATGAGGTTAGACTGTGATGTTAAACATCAAGTTCAAGGCTTCAAATCCCCATACCAGCCAGCCACCAAAACAAATAAATAAATAAATAAAGTCACATAGGCTTAAAAAATATGCACAACACAACAATAAGTCAGGAGGGGAGAAATGGAGTGAAAAGTGTTCTAAAGTCTTTACATTATCCAGAAAGAAAGTTAAAGGTATTAACATTAGACTTAAAAATTATGCTTTATGGGCCGGCCCGGTGGTGCACTCGGTAGAGTGCGGTGCTTGGGAGCGCAGCAGGAGACCCGCCGAGGGTTCGGATCCCATATGGAGACCGGTCCGCTCACTGGTTGAGCATGGTGTGGGCGTGACAGTGAGGGTTGCGATCCCATTGCCGGTCACCAAAAAAGACAAAAAGGAAAAAAAAAATTATGCTTTATAATTTCTAAAGAAACCACTAAATGAATGGAAACAGTGTATAACTTCTTAATTATTAGAGGAAAACATGAATTAAAAAAAATATCAATTGTAGTAGTGAAGGTTCTCCAGAGAAACAGAACCAATAGGATGTATATAGAGAAAGAGATTTATTATAAGAAATTGGCTCACACAATTATAGAGGCTGACAAGTCCCAAGATCTGCAATCAACAAGCTGAAGACCCAGAGGAGCTGATGGTGTAGTTGCAGTCTGAGTCTGAAACCTGAGAGCCACCAAAGCCAATGGTGTAGTTCTAGCCTAAAAGCTAGCAGGCTCGAGACCCTGGAAGATACACCAAGGTCAAGAGTTTGGATCCCTTTACTTGCCAGCCACCAAAAAACTAAAGGAAAAGAAAAGAAAAGAAAAAAAAAAAAAAAAAAAAAAAAAAAAAAA